CCAACATTTTTACTAGATGACTTTATCGGATATTCAAAAATCTAGAAAAATTATACTACCACATGCTAAGTAAGATTCTAAGATTCTGTTGGTATATATTTTATTAATACATGAGACCTAGGAAAAGTTTAGTGCAGATTTTTTTTAAATTTTTTATTTTTTGAAGAGGTTTTGCTATAGGGTGCGTGTGCTCACCAGACAGAGAGAGAGAGACAGAGAGACAGAAAGCGAGAAATCATTCCCCAGGGGGATGGCCACGCCACAATCCCTTCTCCTCCATTCTCCTCTCAGGATCTTGGGCACGCATGCACACACACCTGGCATGAGTTTTAAGCCACTGGGTCCAGGACGTGAACCGCAGTTGACTACATGGGAGTCCAGCAGCATAGCCATTACGCTAACTGCTGGTCCCTAGATATTCAATACATATCAAATATACTCCCAAGAACACACTTTTTCTTATATTCTGGTTTATAGATTATCCTTACCAAAAACAAACCAAACAAAAAATAACTACTGGCCACTATGTAAAAATTAGGTTTGATCATCTGTCTACAATATGACTAGAGGGAAATACACGTATGTTTATAAAGTAATTCTAAAAGCAATACAAAGAACCTTCGTATAAAACACAAATGATCATTCACATTGACTAATGTGTAATATAAAATCAGGATGGAATCATTTCTCTCCTTAAAGGAAGTTGCACCTCCCCAGTTACATGTCCTCACAATTTTCATTTAGCCCATTTTTAAAACACCCATCACACTTCATCCACTGGGATTTTGTTATACTCCAGATAGTTGCTCTCATCAAAGGGAGATTATCAAACTTCCAAAGCCATAGGAACTGCAAAGACATACACACACACACACACACACACACACACACACACACACTACAGTATAAAATAACTTGAAAATTAAGTTTGATGTACTTCCCTATTTGGCAATCTCCAGTTTTCATTTTGTGTTAAGAAGAACTCAAATCCTTGCCAAATGTTTATATCTAAATGAAATCTAATAGACTGTATTTCTGGAGTTTATCTTTAAAACTCCAGTCTCTAATTTTAAAGGTTTATCCAAAAGTCAGTTCAGAATATATATTCTCATGGAAGCAATTTTCAAAATTGCTTCTATATTCACAAAAAAACTAGCTAAATGGACACAAAGGATCATTATTAGGTACTAGGAATGTCTTAAAATCGAAGAATGGTGATGATTGCTCAACTCCATAAATTTACTAAATATCACTGAATTTTACACTTAAAACAAGCAAACATCATCTTAAGTAAATTACCTCAGAAAAGATGGTTTTGGTTTTGTTTTCTTTTCTTTTCTTTAAAGAAAAGGCCTATCCAGGGACCAGCAGTTAGCATAATGGCTATGTCGCTGGACTCCCACATGGTCGACCGCGGTTCGAGTCCCGGACCCAGTGGCTTAAATTCATGCCAGGCGTGTGTGCATGCGTGCCCAGGATCCCGAGAGGAGAATGGAGGAGAAGGGATTGTGGCGTGGCCATTCCCCCTGGAGGGTGATTTCTCGCTTTCTGTCTCTCTGTCTCTCTCTGTCTGTCTGGCAAGTGCACGCGCCCTATAGCAAAAACCTCTCAAAAAAAAAAAAAGAAAAAAGAAAGAAAGAAAAGAAAAGGAAAAGGTCTATCCAGCACAGCCCCATAGCGCAGCGGCTAAGCACTGCCCAGAGGAAGTCAGACCCCAGATGCCAAACAGGGTTGGCTTGAAAAACATCCCAGGTGCACTGGGCGCTCAGGACCTCATGAGATAGAGAGCTGGATGACAAAAGGTGATGGGGTGACGCTCATTGGACAGCGCTTGCTTTCTCTCCCTCCTTCCCCACCCTCCCATTCCCTTTCTCTGATGCTACTAAATGCACCCCTTGACACAGAAGGACAAATGCTAGCTAAACCATTAAGCACATAAAGCTGTGCACTTGGTAATACCGTAGTGACCTATGCATCCATAAATCTAATTATTACAACAGCTGAATTATCCTTTTAAAATACCACTTAAGAAATAGGAATTACCGTAGTTTGCTCTATTAAAATGAATATATTCTGAATGCTAGCCTTCGACCAAGAGGTACACTTAACTAAGGACTAGCAATTTTATTACACAATAGGCATTGTATTTCAAATAATTTACAAAACAGCCTAATTCTTTTCAGCTGGGCCATAGACCACCTATGGTTTTCAATTATAGTCATCACTATCACTCTGTACCCAATACTTTTATTTAAAAACAAACAACAAACAAACAAACAAAAACCAGAAAACAGCTCTAACGTGAAACAAATTACTCATCGCTCTTCAACCTCTCGGTTACTTTCTTATGTTTCCAGGTACCCCCACAGGACAGACACGGTGAAAGAGGATGGAGAAAATGACTCTTCTTGGACATTGGGCTGGCTGAGTTGGGACTCCGTGTTTTCAGTTGGCTGGTTGTTCTCACAGGAAATGTTTTCAGAAATTCTATGTATGTAATTCACTGATACGCCCCAGGCACTGGACCTTCCATTAACACTTTCTATCAAGTTGGGTCTTAAGGTATCGAAGTAAACCAACCCACGCTGATACTTCACATCTCATTTTTCATTAGAAGTAAACTGGCCTCTCACTAGAGCAGTTGCCCCAAAGCTAAATCTTAAGTGGTGGCTGGGTGGCTGGGGAATGGGTGTAGGAAAGATAAACATAGATGAAAAAAGTTCTTTCTAAAACCAAAAAGGAAGTTTGTGGATCCACAGTCATTACTGCCTCGTAAGGAGAGTCTTCCTCAGAGACAAAATCAAAACAAGTTCAAGCTGACTGATACAATCGTTTAAAATCCATGGTAATTGTGAGGCCAGCCAGTGGCATGGAGGTTAAGACGCTGGACTCACACAGGGTCAGCCACCATCTGAGTCCTGTATTCGGTTGCCTGAAAATTCTTGGGACCAACAGTTAGCGTAATGGTTATGTCGCTAGACTCCCACGTAATCGACCCCAGTTCGAGTCCCAGACCCAGTGACTTAAACTCACTCCCGGCGCGTGTGCGTGCATGCCCAGGATCCCGAGAGGAGAATGGAGGAGAAGGGATTGCGGCATGGCCATCCCCCCTGGGGGGTGATTTCTCGCTTTCTGTCTCTCTGTCTCTCTCTGTCTGTCTGGCGAGCGCACGTGCCCTATAACAAAAACCTCTCCAAAAAAAAAAGAAAAGAAAAAGAAAAAAAAAAAATCCTACCTGGCACATGTCCCCATAATCCCAAGAGGAGAAGGGAGGTGAAGGAATTGTGGTAAGCCATCCCCCTGGGGGAGTGATTTCTCACTTTCCCTCTCTCTGCCTCTGCCTGGCAGGCACACACACCCTATGGCAAAAGCCAAAAAATAAATAAATAAATAAAAATCCTTGATAACTGTAAAATAAAACCTACTCAATATTTAATCAGAACAGTTATTATAATGAGTTTCTGACTCTTTTTCTTAAATACTCATATAAATTTTATATGTATATTTTATATATTACATATAAAATTTATACAGAAAATGATAAACATATTGTATATATATATATATATATACTGTAGAAAAATTCACAGTAAACAAGCTAATACCTGCCATACCATACCTGATTTTGCAAAAAGAGGCCACCACAAACAACTTAATCACAAACATAACTCTATGAGATACGAGGACAGTCTTAAGATGCAAGTATTATGTGTCTTTTCTTAACACAGGTGTTATATCACTGGGACTTCATTACATCATTTTCATTTCAAAAATGTATGCCTTTCTTATTTACATATTTTCATACGAAGTACTATTCTGACATCTACAAATAATTCGCATCTTTGCATTTTTAAATGGAAAGAAATACATAAAAAGAGGGACAAACTTAAGAGCATGTAAAATGCAGAATTAAGGATTAAATAAAGAAGAAAATCTGGGGAAAGGGAGAGAGAAAGTGGCCATTGAAGACTCAGGCAATGTGATGTTATTTCAAACATGTAAGAAAATAGTAAAAAAGAAAAACGGTGCCAGCTCAGTGGCACAATGATAACCTGTTGTTCAAATGATGGTGAACCAATATCAAAGATCACAGGTTCAGTTCCCTGGTCATCCTGTACACATCAGGGGTCGCCCGGTGATCCTGGCTGACAGGAAGGCTGGGGATGGTCTGGGGGAAGATGTATTGTGAAAGATGATATTGTGAGGGCTCTTGCTTCTCTCTCTCCCCCTTTCTCTCTGTCTCTCACTCTCATGAAAAGAAATAAATAGTTTTAAAAGTGATAAACATAGTAAATACCTCAAAAAAGAGAGAGAGAGAGAGGCCAGCAGATGGTGTAATGGCTATGTTGCTGGACTCCCACATAGTCAACAGCAGTCTGAGTCCCGGACCCGGTGGCTTAAACTCACACCAGGCGCGTGTGCGTGCGTGCCCAAGATCCTGAGAGGAGAATGGAGGAGAAGGGATTGCAGCATGGCCATCCCCCCTGGGGGGTGATTTCTCACTATCTGTCTTTCTGTCTCTCTTCCTTTCTGGCGAGTGCATGCACGCTATAGCAAAAACCTCTCTAAAAATATATATATTTCTGTGTAGGAAAGGATCTTCTTTCTTAATAACAAGTATTGTTTGTGTCTCACTGTATTTACAACTGTCCATGATCTTTTCCCTCCTGGATATCATAATCTCGACAGCTACTCACTGTAACAGAAAAGCTCAGCACAATCTTTACGCCTTCTCTAACTTGGCACTGAATCATGAATTCATAACATCATTAGCTCATGCCATGTTTTCTCAGAAGTTAGCGTTTATAATAACTCATCAGCTTTGATCATATTACATCATTAAGTCAGATCACAAGCTTAGAACTATGAGTGAAATCTAATTTTTAAAACAAAGATTCTTTGTCAATAAAGTAAATTTAATACATGATTTACAAACATAAATTTCAACTCTTTTAAACATAATTAAACACAAACTTAAAAATCCAGAGTGTTCCTCTTACCATTCAGTAAACAAGACAACCAGGTCATCCTGACTGGCATACTGTCCCAAGGCTTCTTTCATCAGTCTCACCTTCTGGCCCCCTCCAATACTGTTAATTCCATCACCACCTCTCCACTCTTCTCCTTGACCAAGGACCTATAAGTGAAATCAATATTTTATCCCTGAGCAAAACTCAAAAGATAACAGTCCATAAATAACTGAAAGACATTAATAATGTGTACAATAGTACACCATAAACACCCTTTAAATATTTATGTAAATCATGATATTGGGGTCTGCAGGGGAAACTTGGAGTCTAAGTCAGACCATAATTCTTCCTCGTTATCCACTCCAAAAATAGCATTCTCAAGTTTACCACTTCAAAAGTTAAGAGTCTAATATAAAAAGGTAGACTCATAAATATCCCTATTTATTTCAGACTAAAATGAAAAAGGAAATTTCCATGTCACTTTTAATAATCCAATAAGAAATCTGCATGAAGCTCAGCAACTTCTGGATTGAGACCTTAAACGATGTTCCTACTGATTCAAAATGAGCTGTCCAGAGAATTGCAGAAAACATCAAGTAAAACATCACCTTTTTTTTTTAGAGATTCTGGCTATAGGGGTGCATGTACTCGCTGGAGAGGCATGAGACAAGAGAGAGACAGAGACAGTGAGAAATCACTCCCCAGGGGAGATAGCCACAGCTCAATCCCTTCTTCTCCATTCTCCTCTTGAGATTTTGGGCTCGCACACACACGTGCCCAGCATGAGTTTTAAGCCTCCAGGTCTGGGACTCGAACCGCAGTTGACTACGTGGGAGTCCAGCAACATAACCATTTTGCCATCTGCTGGTCCTGAAACATCACCTTTTGATATATAAATCTAAAATGTCATTCTCGAAAGTGTGATATGAATTCATCAACGCAGGAAACTGTTTAAGTGCAATTAATCAAAACGAAGCTGAACTCCTCTTCACCATTTGCCTTAGCTGCCTCCTCAGTTGGAAATATTGATACCTCCTTGACACCCCTGGCTCTAAGGGACTTGAAAGCACAGGCATGCCTCTGAGATACCATTGTTTAGTTCCAGACCACCACAATAAAGGAAGACAACACAAGAAATATCTCATTCTGCCTGGAAGAGCTGGGCAAGAAAGCAATTGAGTGTACTCACTACTCAGGAGCAAAAGCAGAAATAAAGGACAATCGCCCAGTTTAATAGTCCTGTTAGCTCCCTCAAATTTCCTGTGATCATTTATCAATGAGATATTCCCTGGGAGGTAAGTCTCCTAAACCTTTTTTTTTTTTTTTTTTTTAATTTTAAGCCACCAGGTCCGGGACATGAACCGTGGTTGACTACGTGGGAGTCCAGTGACATAGCCATTACGCTAACTGCTGGTTCCCTCCTAAACCATTTTGTACTATTAGAGTACTTCAAAATTTCTCTAAACAAATGAAACAAAGAAACAAAGAATAGCAACCCTTAATAATACAAAAGGTATCTCCTTCACAATCATGTTTCCAGTTCTGTATAAATAAAGAATCACTATGGCTATGGCAGATGAACTCCTTACAGGAAACAATACTGAAAATCACTAAGATAATTACTGCCAAATCTTATTTACACTGCCTTGGTATTACTAAACATTAAGAATTTACCATGCAGCATATTAATAAGGCCAAAATGTATCTTTAAAACAGTCAACTGTATATAAACTAATAGTATTATGTAACCAAATTGTATCTTTCTTCTGTGGGTCATGGATTGTTAATGTTATGAAAACTGTAGTTTCGGCACATTGTTTTACACCTCCATAAATGAAAGGATATACCATACCTTAACAGTATAATTGAAATATTTGGCAGACTGCATAAATCGATGGAATCCATCACTTTCTTTTGTTGCAACAGTTATAACTAATAATTTATCTGCAAAGACAGAAGGAAATAATATAAGAAGGTTTACCAAAAGGTTAAATGCTAATGTGATACAACTTTCTACAGTGATTATAGACCTGACCAAATACATGCAACTGCTTCGGTTTGTGAATGTACATGAAGCTAAACAAAGAGTTATTCAGATTGGTTATATGACTGTCAAACAACAAACCAGCAAATGATAAGTTATTTTCATGGTAAGAAAGGTCATAATGCTTAACAAAAACATGTCCTCAATAGAGTATTTCAAAGACCAAATTTTCCATTAAAATGCTATTTTTAATCTACTAAGACTCTCCTAGACATTATCTAACCAATCGGCTTCATTGTCACCTATAAATCATCCCTGACTTAGCGCATCAGTGAGGTCCCAAAGCACATTACGTTCCCCAAAACATGGGGAGGTGACAAGTAGCAACGTGGCTAGGGCACTGGACTCCCACATGACCAACTGCACTTCATGTCCTGGACCTGGCAGCCTGCTTTCTCACCTCCCCCCTGCCTCTCTGGTGA